TTTGTGGTCCTTGCCTTGATTTGAACCAACAGAGGTTCAGGTTGACATTAGGAGACATTCCTTCACCAAAAGGGTTGTCAGGCGTTGGAACGGGCTGCCCAGGAAGGTGGTTGAGTCACCATCCCTGGAGGTATTTGAAAGTCTAGATGTGGCACTTAGGGACATGGTTTAGTGGTGGTTATTAGGAGTGTTACATTAATGGTTGGACTTGATGATCTTAAAGGCCTTTTCCAACCTCATGACTCTAAGGTTCTATGATTTGAAAGATTTGGTGAACCTTACATAATCATTGTAGCTCTTTATAGGTGACCTGGGTTGCCTTGTTTGGGCTAAGGCCATGCTAACTAGCTTTTGGTTGCCCTAGTTGTTGCATTGGACCTTGGTGGACATAGAGAGGCTGTATTCTGGTATCCATCCACGGATTGCATCCTCTACCAGCATTCAGACCTGTCCTAGAGTCTACATTTTATGTTCAAACCAAAACAAAGCAGGTCAGTTGAAGCTGCTAGACCAGACTCACTAATGATGAATTCCACAGGCTGACTGCAACTAAACAGATGTTTTCCCATTCTTATCTTAATTTATTTTTAAAGAATTATGTGAGGCTAAGCTTGTTTATGTATTTCTTTATGCTTCTTAACCAGATCCAAGAGAAGTATTTCATCTGGGACTCAGTCCTGTCTTCAGTGAAACATTGTAGTTCATATGCATGGGAAAAGATGTTTCATTTTGAAAATCAAGGCTATTGCTCAATAAATTGTCTTATTGTCTTAAATTGTCATAATGTTCTTAAAGAATGTTTCCAAAATCTTGGGACAAACACAGCAATGAGATTATTGTGCCATAGAAAGGAAAGAATACATGAGCATTTGTCTGCCTAATCAGCCCTATCATTAAAACAGCTTTGTCAGCATCCTTTTGTACTTGTTCCTTGGCTACAGCGCTGAAGTAGAGTGGGACGTGCAGGATTTTCTCAGCTTTAGTAGCTGACCTATAAAGCTGTTAGAGTCACAGGTTTTAAAACTGGGACATGAACGTATTCTAATTATCTGTGCACTCAGGCATATATATATGGAAAGTTTGTTTACCAGCCACAAGTGACCATCTTGAAAAGGCTGGTTTTCCTTTTATAAAATGATTATGTAGTACTTGAGAAATACTGTTACAGTGGAAGGATATTTCCCTGGTGAATGGGTTTGAATGGGACTGGAGCAAGCTGTTTGGTGAGCAATCTAGGGAAAGGAGTATGCTACAAAGGCCTTCACTCCCACCTCTCTTTCCAGAGCCAGGGAGCAAAACTGGCTTGCTTTCAGGTTCATTGTAAACTTGGGGAAAGTGGGGAGTCTGGAGGTCTTGGAGAGCAAAGGGGGGAAAAAAAAAAACACACCAAAAAACACCCACCAAAAAAAAAAGAAAAAAGGCAAAAAAACACCCCAAACCCCAAAATAAAACAAAAAACCCCAAGACACAAACCTCAAAACAAAACAGATTTAGCACAGATTGTTCCTGAAACTTAATGATATTACAGGAAAGTGTAGGAAACAGAACCATCCTATAAAGTAATACAACCATTCTGGTATATTTATTAGGATCCTCCTGGGACATCAGATGGGAAAACATAGGTCCAACAGTGCAGTCCTTTAGGACATATATGGCCCTGTTTTCAGTGATTCTGGTACATAACAAGTGAAAATAAATACTGTCTGTAGTTTGCCTCTTATTTTTAGTGGTTGCTTCTAAACAGAAATTTTATTTATAATGAAATAGTTATCCACCATTATAAGAAGTTTCTCTTGTGCTAGAGGCAGATGTGCACTGGATAAATAATGCACTGTAGCTGAAAAATACTGCTTATATGTTTTAAGCTTTGCTGCACTAAATGCCCACTTCTAAGGGGTAGTACTTCTTACTTGGAATAGGTGTAGAATAGATGTAATAATCATTAATCTTTTGGGGGGACCACCAACTGAAAAGATACGAAATGGCACTGTGTAGAGAAATTGCTCGTTATTGACACGTTTTTGTGTAGTTAGAGCTGAAGTTTGTATTTGGTTGACTAATATGAACAATGTAGGAGAGAAATCCCTATTAGGACTGCTTGTATTGATAAAGCTTTTGGGTGTAGAATAGATGTAATAATCATTAATCTTTTGGGGGGACCACCAACTGAAAAGATACGAAATGGCACTGTGTAGAGAAATTGCTCGTTATTGACACGTTTTTGTGTAGTTAGAGCTGAAGTTTGTATTTGGTTGACTAATATGAACAATGTAGGAGAGAAATCCCTATTAGGACTGCTTGTATTGATAAAGCTTTTGAATTTGCCAGAACTAGTCATTCTTTCCTGCTAGAAAAATGCCACATGTGGTAAATAATTACTGTAAATTATGAATTATTAAAAAAGGGGTGGGGGGGACAACTAGCTTTTTTTTTTTCCCGCTAGATTTTTTTGGCCGAAAATCATTAACTGTGAGAATGGTTTCAATATGTGCCAAGGATGTGTTCAAGATCAGGTTACAGAAGAGTTAGATTCATGACGGGAAGACCCTGACCTGCTCGAGCTGCATGCCTTTCCAGCTGTTCAGTCTTCACTTACGGAAATTAAAGCTTCAGGTTTTCTTGACTAAGTATTTTGGGTTATTTTATATTAGTTCTTTGAAGCTGAAGGGTGTCAAGAGAGGCAGTCTTTAGGGGCAAGAGCCCTAAGGGGTTGAACCCCGAAACTATGAACTACTTCAGACTATAATAACTGATCAGAGCTGAATGAAGTATTCCCATGCTTGACTTGTCCAGTAATCCCATCCCATAGAAAATACAACACCAGCTTGCCAGTTACCAGTGTTTGTTCAGATATAACTTCCAGTTGGTACAATGTCTGTTTTTCTGAATTCTGAAAGGGTTTTAAGTGTGCTCTCTGTATTAATCACGGAGTCGGGAAGTGGGAATGCGTTGCTACAGTGGCTCTGCTCTCACGCAGTTGAGCTGATGAAGGAGGAACAGAGTTTTGGAGTTTGCTGTGCCACATCAGGGAGGTTTCCCACTTCAGCTTTGTTGTCAACAAGAACTAGGTTGGGTTTGGGGGTTTTTTCCCTTTAAAATGAAAAGATCAGTCTGGATAGAGCAGTAATAAAAAGAATGAGCAGTGGCCCAACCTCTACGTCACTATGTGATGGGCACTGAGCCCTGCAGAAAGCCATGAAAACGAAGAGGCCTGCAACTCCTTTGGCCTCTAGATAAACCGACTCCATAAGGATTTGCTGTGTAGTATGAAAATGAATGGATACTGTTAAATGAAGATGCTGTTCTTCAAATAGTAAGTAATTTCCCTCCTGGAGTAGGTAATTTATGCCTATTACCCAGGCAGGAATTGTGATTAATATGCTGCATTAGCTGCTTGAGCAGATAAAATCTCAAGAGCTAAAGATCTTGTTTTCATGCAGATAAGGCTAATAAGAAAATCAAAGGGAAATGAAACCCTGAGAAAGTGATGTAATGCACAGAGCAAGTTGTACCCTGTCGAAACAGTAAAGTCTGAATGACATGTTATCAGACTTCACTGTAAAGGAAGAAGAGAAAAAGGCTTATGTATTGGGACATCCCAAGCTCCACGCCTGTAACGTGATAGAAATGGAACTGACCTCTTTCAGCAAAGAGAGCGTGATGGCTCTTTTTTCATTCACGATGTAAAGAGAGCAGTGGGATGTTTTCTTTCTTCAGGATACCCTGTGTCTCACAGGCAGCATGGGCCAAACAGCACCATTGACGGCAGGTGGGGGTTTGAGTCCCAGGTTAGTTGCAACAAACAAGAAGCTTCTTTTGGTGTTCTTTTTAATCTGAATCTAATAAACCAATCTCCAGTTAGGAAATTCTTTTATCCCTTAGACCTGTAAATGAAGTGTAAATTATTTTCAATGTTTATGCTATTAAATTTGATAAAATCCAAAGGGTTTCCTGGGGTCGTCTAGTTCAACATCAACTGCTAAGCTTAGTGGTCTCCACGCTTTTGTATTCAACAATCTGTGCTCATTATTCATCTGCCCTCAACATCTTTTTCCAGAGTTATATCCCAGACACGTGTTTGTCAGTGTAGCAAATCCATTTCTTTTCTGCTAGTAGCCATCTTCCCACTGACAGATTCACACAATCATTTTAATATGTATAATAAAGCATTTGGCTCCTACAGAACACTAAGATGGGTGGTGATAGTAGTAACTAGAATTAATGCATGTTATCTAGAAATTTCTTCTCCTGTAAATGAAATCGATGTTCTTGTCCACAACAGATTTAATTTTGAAAAGCGTATTAATGACAAACTTATGAAATACAGTTTGTTATTTTCTTTCATTAAAACATCAGTATATCATGCTGTTGTTTTGTGTGTGTTCATGAGATGTAGATGAGACAGTTCCAGTATTGTTCCCGTGGGAGTTAGTTGTCAAATTTGTTTGTTTGTTTGAATATAGTTTAGTAATCACTTTTCTACTCTTGACTGAAATTAGGTTCTTTTTTCTCCATTTATAGCTTGCACTATTTGGTTAAACATACGAGTCATTAGTCTTTTCCTTCTTAGTATTTATTTGGTTATCAAATATCTGTTTGGAATTGTTCTGAAATACGTGTTAGAATTTTTATTTCAACTCATTTTATGGGGGATTTATGGTTTGGTTTTGGTCAGTTGAATTCCCTTTAGGCTATGTTGTCAGCAAATATTGTGTAGGTTTCTGCCATAACTGTGAATGCCCTAAGTGCTGGACTGCCAGTGTGAAACTTGAAACAGAATTTGGAGACTCTAGTTTTCATTGAAAAAACCCGCTATCTCTCGATTTTACCCTTTTTTATGTATCATATTAATACATTATTTTTAAAGTACTGTATGTAATTATACTGTGAGGCATTTTTTTTTAATGAGTTTATACTGATGGTTGAGAAGTGGTGCAGAAATAAAAAAGAGGGTGATGAAGCACAGTAAACTTGCAAGAATTATCTTCCTTCTTTCTTAGATATATGGGCAATTGGCTGCATATTTGCTGAACTATTGACTTCGGAACCTATATTTCACTGTCGTCAGGAGGACATCAAAACAAGTAATCCTTTTCATCACGATCAGCTAGATCGCATTTTCAGTGTAATGGGATTCCCTGCAGGTAATTTATTTTCATTAAAGCGTTGGACGGAATTCTACTGAGGTGAATATTTTTCTAGAGGAAATGACTAGTTGTTTGTATAGGTATGAAGAAGCTGTCAGTTTGATGGATTTGGAAATGCTGGCAATTATGGAACAATAACACTGGCCAACAAACAAAGTCAAACAACTGCTGTAGTTATTTCTTCTTATGTGTTACTTAACCTATGCTTTCAGAGTTGTAAATGCTTCTCCTTTTTCCTCCTCACCCAAAGATAAAGACTGGGAAGACATAAGGAAGATGCCAGAATATCCAACTCTTCAGAAAGATTTTAGGAGAACAACGTAAGTGATGATACCACAACAGTTCAGAGAATGTAGCAGAGGCAGAAATTGGCTCCTATTCTCTGACATTTTGGGGACGAGGTTTTGGGTTGTTTGGGTTCTAAGACTGTGACAGCTGTCCTGTTTGCATTAGCTGTTTTGCTTGAATGGTGTTTTCTCCCTCAGCTGCTTGTTAAAAGCATCAACTGAGCAGCCTCCTCATTTCTCTGGAAGGGATCGCTATAAGTGCCATTTAACCTGCAGCAGGCACAGACAAAATGAGCTTGCTTTAAATCACTTGTATTTGCTGTTCAAGATAACTCATTCATTTTGTGTGAGAAAGAATAGGGAAGCCCCTCCCTGGTCCTTTTGCCCAGCAAATATGTGGAGACAGTGAAGTAGTGGACAGAGATGTCTATGGAAGGTAATGTGTTGAACAGGTGGTGATACAGAGCCTGTCTGGGATCTGAGAATTTTGCACTTTGATGTTTCCTGGTGCTTTGGCTAAATTAGTCAAGTGGTGGTGATAGATCATAGGGTGTAAGGAGCAAAAAGACTCTCTTTTAAAGCAGAGGACATGTATTCAGAGTTTTGGATTCTGTTTCCAGCTCTGCCATGGATTCATTACTCTGGCTTTAGACCAGATAGGAAGCTTATCTGAATTTGTAGACCTGCAAGGCACAGGTCATACATATTTGAGGCATTTTTGAGCTTGGGAGCTATAAGAACTGTATGGTTTGCTGCAGCTTGGGGTCAGGGAGACAGGTTGGTAAACTAACTGCTCTGCCAAATTGCAACTGGAAACAATAGCATATCTGTTGTGCTGTTACGGACTGCTCTGCGCTTTCTGTGGCAGAGTTGCTGTGGAAAACTAGATTATTAACTTTAAGTTGAGTATCTCTGTCGTATGTCCATGTCGATAGCTTATCCATACACTATAAAAATTGTAAGTTCATGGAAATAATCTGTACACAGTTGATGGTACTCCTGTGAGTTGAAAGCACACTTTATATGTGCAACTGCTAGATAAATATCTGACATGTTTTCTGATAGCAGTTCTTTTTACTGTTGACTTATTAAGGGCTGGTGAATGTTTTTGTGATCACTTCCTACGGTTTCATATTCTTCATGCTGTATTATTTCAGAAATGTCTTTGCTTAACTGTATTTTTCAGATATGCCAATAGTAGCCTCATAAAATACATGGAAAAACATAAAGTCAAGCCTGACAGCAAAGTTTTTCTTTTGGTAAGTACAACTTGAAAATCACTGTGATGGGGATGAAATTAATTTCTGATGGTCATATCTGTGTATGTTCTTGTATCTCATTCTAATAAACACGAACATTGAAGAAAGCTATTTATCACTAACTGGCCATTTTTGAGATGTATTTTCTTCATACACGTTCATGCTGAGGGTGTGCTTAAACTGCTGGTATTGAAGACCTGAAAGTTTTATCTAATTAAGGTCTGTGAGGCACTCGTATACCCAGCCTTACCCTTAGGTTTGCTGTGCAAACAAGGTAGTGAATATTATATATCCCTTGATTCTGTGTTGTTTCAGAGAGCTGAAGAGTTTTGTGAAGAAAAGGAAGAGGACAGGAGAAGTTTAATTATCTCCTGTAGTAATTATTTTTTCCCCTCTGTAATAGCCCACCTCTGCTCTGTGGGTGATTCCAAGCAATATCCCTAAACATGTATTTGCTGGTTACCTAGATGAGTCATTCATTGTAGGTGAACACAGGGTTGTTCTGTCTAATACAGCATCATTTCTGGATGTCTCTGTGATGACTTAGTGCTGTCTAAATTTAGAAATGAAGTTCCAAGTGACTTTGCTAGTTCTGTGAACAGGCAGTTTCTGTAATGAGGCTGTTAATGCAGCTTGAGCTCTAGTCCTGGCAAAGATTTGCTCTAACTTGTTAGTAGCTGCTGGATGATGACACAAATAGCTGTGGAAACAGAATAGGTTGTTTCCAAGCGGGTGGAAGGGGAACGCTCTCATATGTGAGACTTCAAGAAAAAAAGTAATTAAAATTTCTTAAACTCAACTTACTGGGCACGGGTTGGAATCATCTTAAAGAACAGATCTTGAAGGAAAGGTGTGCATTGTTTTCCCAAATCAAGAGTTTAGAAATGTGTCTGCTCATGAGCTTGGAGGTACATGCATTCTGAAGCAGACTCCTAAAACTCCCTGTTCATATCCAAGGTAGTTATTTTTTTGAGGTATCCTCCATCTTGCAAGGTGACCTCTGAAGACATCTACGTTGTAACCCTTATTGGCCAAGACTTTGCGCTAATGAGCACAGAAAGTGTGGTGCGTAGAGAAAATGCAGCATCAAGCAGACCAGTGCAGGATAGGAATTGACTCTTGACAAAGAGGACGATACTGTGCCACTGACACTGAGTGATAGTATCTACATGAAGGGGAGAATGTTTTACATCCTGGAAGAGGCATCTGTTCTTGCTGTCCTGGAAAAATTACACGGTATTTATAGCCGTCGTCAGGCCAGTAGAGCCTGACAGCAAGCAATCGAGAGCTGCTGAGAGGTATGAGAGTGATGATGAAGTCCAGTCTCACAGGCCTTCTGTGTTGTGTTAGCAGCTGCTACCCTGAAAGCCAGTTGTGTCCAGACATTTTTAATTCACTTTCCTTGAAGCAACAGAAGCTGCAGAAAACCGGACTTTGACAAAGAAAGTTGGTTCACAGCAGTATCACTGATAGGCAGGATATCTGACTTGGAGTGATATCACCTGGAATGGATTATATCCTCCGAGGTGGAGGGGGATTACTAAGGGAATGAGCATTAAAAGGTCCACAGTACATTAGCCTTATCTTTGAATGACAAAGAATACACATATTTGGAGGCAGCCTGTGGTGACAGTACTGTATGGCAGAAAGGTGGAGGGGCTTTCTCTTGAGTAGTACTGCAGCAGCCGCTTCTGGGGAGAGAGCCCAGGAGGCAGAGGCTGATCCTGTACTCCTCTGTCAGTGATGGCATCTGGTACCAAAGAGGAGGAGTGGTCTTATACAGATCATGAGTGTTTGTCCCTGTGGTCACTGTGGAGAAACTGGGGAGGAGGAATTTGCAACACCTGTAATGGTGTCACAAGCCACTAAAACTGACAAAAAAATTTGCATGGAGGGAGAGGTGATTTGAAAGAGATGCTGAATGCCAAAACTGCTGTCTCTGTGTATTTTATCATGTGAGGTCACTGTGTAGAGAGCCAACAATGCATTAGAAGTTGAATTTGCTAAGATACGCTGGAAACGTAGGGTTAAGGGTTATCTGACAACACGAAACACGATAAATAAGTGTGCCGTGCAAACTCTCCAGGTGGGTGCTGTGCAGGACCACCCCGAGGTGTATTTCCAGAGAAGCAGCAGGAAACAATTCAGGAGCTGGTTGCAAATGAACTGATAATGGAGAGAGCACTGAAATGGCTTTTTATTGTGTTGTCAGTCTGTTGTGGTCCACGGCCCATAACGTATGGGAACAAGGAGGGATGGAAAGGAAGTGGCGAAAATACAGAGAATTTTATAAGGGCTCATCTACAAATTAGGCTTAACTACAGTTATTGAGAAAGTAAATAAAGGGAATCATCTTTCTTTATCAAGATGAGTACTTTTACTGAGGCGGTTTACTGTACCATATATACAGAATTGTATATCAGATTTTTGATTTATTGGAACAAAAAGCCCCGAATACCTGTTGCAAAATCGCATTCTTTTGCTGACTATCCAGGGAGTTTTTGTTGGAGGCCTGGAAGGCAGAGTTTGAGCTAAGATGCCCTTTGCAGAAGAAATTTTATTTTCACTGTTGACTGGAATTGAGTATTGTGTGAGAGCAGGATACTGTATGGTGTAATTTGAGCACCCAAAGTGAGTTTATCAGAATGCGATAAGTGACTTTAAAATGGTACGTTATCCCTGTAATTCCTGTTTTATACTACTAATATATTGTAATCCTCTTTTATAGCCTGCTGCAGTCAACAGCTTTCTAGCTAATAAATTTATTATTCCTTTCCTCCTACAGAGGAGGAAAGGTTATTAGGAAGGGTCTGCTCCTCCTCTTTCTCATTTCAATACCAATTAGAGTGGGACTGGGAGTTGCGTGAGTGGCAGAGTGCTCCGACTCTGGAATGTCACCAGTGCAAGAAATGAAGATCTATTGTTTCCGTCCCTAAAGTGATATGGAGAGTCCTGGTCATGTTCAGTCTCTTCTGACATGGTTTTTTTTTCTGTTGTGTCAGCAGTACAGAACACTATAAAAGCTATACGTGTGCTACACCAAAGCACCATTATTTAGAAATGATGCTTTATGAACCTGCCATAGCTGAATTTAGTGTCGCGTTAGCACAGTGGTTCAGCCTTAACAATTAATATTGCCTGATAAACTTCACTGTATTTCTTATGTGAGAGGTGCTTCACAGCCATAGTGCTTTGATGGATGTGCACTCGAGTTCTTGGGAACTTCCCTGAACAAGCAATGTTAACTTAGGCTTGTCTGGGGAAACCACAAATAATTTAACAATCAACGATCCAAGACGTGTAAGTCATAGTTTGAAAAATGATAGTTTGATAAGCTTTTTTCTATTTTTAATGTTATGCTTTGCAGCTTCAGAAGCTTCTTACTATGGACCCTACAAAGAGAATTACCTCAGAGCAGGCTTTGCAGGACCCCTACTTCCAAGAGGATCCTCTGCCTACATCAGAGTATGTATTCCCTCTTCTGTTCTCTTCAGGGGTGTCTTCTTTCGGCTAAATGCTAATCCTTGAAGTGAGAAGACAGATGAAAAATTCAGATATCTGCCTATATCCACAAGAATATGTCAGGCATGCACAGTAGAAACTGTGTAGTACTGGAGTGTCTGTGTCTACTCGTGTCAGAACTGAGTGGTCATAGACAATAACTCAGTGGCACACCAGTGTTGTAATTCTGAACATACTGCCAAAGCTCGTGTGACAATGTTATTGCAGTATTTGGAAAATCGTGGTACCCTGCTCTGTTCTGCCCTACACAGCCGCACACAGCCCTGTTCTGCATTGCCTCGTTTCACTCTGCCTCTCCTTGGGACTCGGGCAGTTCTCTGACCTACAGCCCCTTCCCGTGCCCCCGTGCACAGGGTAACAGTATGAGGAGAGAAAAGTGGAGAGATCAGTGACTGCCTAAAATCCCACATGTCCCTTGTTCAGAAGGCTCTGGAGTACAGATTTTACATCTTTATATATTTTATTGTCATGAAAAACTGAAATGATACATTCAGTTTCTACTGGCAGAATTTGCTCTTCTAGTTTCTCTTCCCAGTTTTCACAAGCATGGTAGTTCATAGCGTTACGATCTGTAGGAGCTGGATGCAGTGGGACTTCCACCTTTGCTTTCCCTGCTTCCACAGTTAGCAGGCAACACTAAAAGCAGGCACTGGAGTGCAAAAGGAGTCTAGCTGAGACTAGCTGGGTGGGTTTTTTCCTTTCTCTTTCTGCTTGGATAAAGCAAACACTACATAGCAGCTAGCTTAGGAACTGCTTACACACTTTAAAAATCATGTCATATTGATTGTATTCTGAATGCTGGCAAATAAATCTAAGAAACTGATGCTGGTCAAGATCTACCAATAATTCTCTATTTATAGTGTTTATCTGATACGATCCTGTGTAGAGCTATAGCTCCCTGTGGATTACAGGAGAACATTATGATAAAGTCTCTGCTATAAACATTAAGGAATGTTCCAAATCCTATTAGCCAGCTGAATTTAGAAGCTATCTTTTTTCCTCTAAACAAGACCTGAGAAGCTAACTGAAAGTAACTCTGGGGTTGCGATTGGCAAATATGTATTTAAGCCTGCTGTAAGCCGAGGCGGGCTCATAAGACATTAACACGCCTTGGATCAGACCCTTTGTTCAGTGAGCCATGCATGTTCCAACTAGGTGTTGTGGAACCTCTGACACGGTGTTTGTTCATTTTGCCATCTGGATCAACAAGTGGTCGTTCTGGCATTCGGGCATGCTCAAACCATGCTGTGATTTCTAAATGATGGCCTTGTGCCAACACCAGAGAGGTCTGACACTTATGAGCAGCACCCAGCTGCTGGCATCTACTGCTACCTTGGGTGCTCTGCCACATGTTTATGGAAACAGGACTCATGAAATACTGCTGTGTGCGCTTGTTTTTAATGTAGTGTTAAGCAAGTGTATGGCATATGTACAATTTGTAGAGCGTTTACTGTTTGCTGTGTTTCAGTGTATTTGCTGGCTGTCAGATTCCGTATCCTAAAAGAGAATTCCTCAATGAAGATGAACCTGAAGAGAAAGGGGATAAGGTATAATAAACTCCTTTTTATTTCCTTTTAAGTGTATGATAAGAAAGAGTCATGGTGCTACCAAATGAAAACTAATGAAGTGTGAAGAATCAAGCAAAACTGTGTTTTTTGGGCAAGGGTCTCTTAAAACTGCTTCCCAGACAGATGAAAAGTATCAGATGACTTTGGGGTGTCTCAGGCAGTATCACCAGCACAGTTTGCCCTGACCTGTGGGGAATGAGCTGGATAGGTTGTTCTGTCAGCAGCAGCCTGCTTTCAGCTGCCATCTTTCCAAGAGGACCTTGCTACCTCCTCCTGCATTGCATGGTGAAAATACATTGTGGTCCCATGAAAAGAATGGCAATGCCATTGTATGACTGGCATACATCCAGCCATTTGAAAGTAGATGGCTGTCGGGGTCTCAAATAAATAGTGGCAGCCTGCTTCTGGCACTACATCAGAACATTTCATCCATCTGCACATAGTTTCCTGATCATGTTTTAAGGGCCCTCAGACAAAGGAGTAATAAGGAGCGTGAACCGTTCTGGTAGCGACCATCTGCTCTGAATACTCTTTTTCCCATAGCCCCACAGACCTGGGCAAGAACTTGTTTGTGTGCACAGTAAATTTTGGTGTGTTTGCAGCATAGTCTGACCTGCTCTATGCGTGTAGCTCAGCTGTGCTACGTGACCGCCGTGGCTGCCCCGTCATGCTCTGAAGGCTGGACAATGGTGCTATAGTGTATGAAGCAGCTTGTGATTTTCACTTCAAAGTGTATAACAGCAGTAATGGGCAGCTAGCAAAATGTGAAGAAAACTGAAATGATCTGAGGGCCACATGAGAAGAACTGTTAATCTTTTGGAGAAACATTTGACTGCATGCATCCACCAGTATCTCCAGGTCCTCCTCTTCAGGGCTGCTCTCCATCCATTATCCTCCCAGCCCGTACTTGTGCTTGGGATTGAACAGAACAGGTATTATAGTTTCTTCTGTACTGAAAACAACTGGTAACATCCAGGATTTTTGTGTCCTGATAGTTTTTTTCAAAAAGAGGAAACAGACACCTAAGCAAAAATGCAATGAAAGCCATGATACTGGTGTGATTGTAATTTAGTTGCTAGCTTTGCTTCAACTCTCACATCTCCAAAACCAAGAACAAACCTTATGAATTAAAATTATTCTGGCTTTTGTTAAGTCAGTGTATTTAAAAGTGAACGGCTGTCTCTTTCCTGGGAGTGCTGGGGGCAAAACAATGGCATATTTATATTCAAAACAGCCATTATATAAATGGTCTTTGAGATTGTTGGGGACAGTCACGTATTTATGCACACTCCAAATTAAACTATTTTCGGTCCGTTTAGGTAATGTAAGTCACGCATTACTCATTGAATGTGTTCCCACTGTGTAGAAAATGAGAAGGTAAAAGATACTCTGAAATTTGGATCTGTGCCATGTTTTGTTTCTTTATGATGTTGTTGCAAGTGAAAGGACTTCTATTTTTTTTTTTTAATACTGTTAGTTTCAGATTTTTTTTCAAAACCATGTATAGTCCTTTGGAAACCCAGAGGAGTTCTCTGTGTGTGTTTATTTGGTACTTGCATCTGAATTGAATAACCTTTAACATAAGCATCCATTCTTCCAAATGGTGAATCATGAGTCAGCAAAGTAAAATGATTGTTTGTAAAACAAAGTGAAAAGATGCTTTTTCTCATTCAAATTCTCTTAGGCAAGTTTCTGCTGGGTTCTTTCTAGGCAGGTCTGGAATTTTATTTTGGCAGTTTTGCCTGATAAGTGACACGTGGTAACACATTGCTAACTGCAAACCTTTTACAAGTTTATTCATTTAGGAACCACCGTCAGCTAGACTGACCCAAGGACAGTATTTTTGCTGGCGTAAGCTGGTTTTGTGCACTGAGGTGGTGCAGCTAGACCCCAGCCAGAGTCTGACAGTAAATCTCGGTCTCTGCCCAGGCAGTAGCAGTAGAATCTGCAGAGAAGCGCAAGCTCGGCCTAGGCAGGTAAATTCTGTGCTAATATCCAAAGCGCAAAACATGGGGCCTAGGACAAACTGTTGTCCCTAATTGAGAGAGTTCCTGCAATATTTATTTACACGTTACAAGATTGAGTTTCTCAGGTCTCACAGTAGCGACCACATCACTTGCATCCAAACAGCCCTATGAAAACACACATTTTGGAGCACAAATACCACCTTAGTTATTGGTATGTGTTTGTTTAAGGGAAGCTCAAACCATTATGAAAAGATAAGTTGCTTCTTCACAATTTTTTTTACAAGCTAACTTGTTTAACTTTTTAAATTATTGAAGTTTGAGTCTCCTGGGAAACAGAATCTGATTGAGATGGGATCTGAGGAGTACAAGCAGGAGGATACATTATTGGTTTTGCTAAGTGTGAAATGGAAATGCAAGCCACCTCTTAAGTCCTTGAAGATGCAAGGTTTTCTTTGTGATCTTCAGTGGATACATCACTGCGAATCTCATCTGAATGTATCTTGGGAGACCATTGTGATGAGTGGCATACCTACAGATCTTTTGTGTCATTTATCTGAGGTACCTAAATGCCTTTTGGTGAATAGGGGCATCGGGAATTTTCCAGTGACAACTGGTTGTCATGATTTCTGAGAAACTCATAAAGTGAGGTTTTTATAAAAGGCTCTCATACTAAAGCTTTCGTAAGCAGATATTCTAGGAAAAAAAGACTACCCTGAAATGTTCCATACATCATGTTGGGGGGGAAGGTATTAAGGCTTTTTAATTCAAGCCATGACAATTGTAGGTGTTTTCCATGCCGACCAGGTAACATATCTCACATTCGGAGCAAAATTGCTTTTCTTTCCAATTCTCTCCTGTGCTTTAGTGCTCTGGTGGAGGACACATCCCTGATGCTTGAACGCAGACAGATGGGTGGTCTTTCCTTGTAACTGCCTAACCATGGAGGGCACAGTTGCAGTCTGCTCTTTTCTCACCTTCCCTCCCATTCCCTAGTACTTTCTCATCTGTAGCCCTCTGAATCCAGAAGTGTAAAAGTTTTGCTCTGTGTTACCCTTTTTAACATTTTTTCTCCCTTTCATGGCACTTTTCTTTGTGTCTCTTCCCACTAAGTCCTAGTGTCATCTTAATTGTCTGGCTTCTCTTCCTTTACTAGTTGTCTCCTTCCCTTGCCAGAGTCTTCCCTCAGCTGCTTCCTCCTCCTTTATCTCCAACTATTTGTCTCTGATCAGTTTTCACTTTTTTGCTCTTCCAGTAAGATTTTTTTGACCCTGTACCTAGCGCACTGTGCTGGACCATATTCCCACTATGCCACTATTTACAAGTACTTAAAAGCACAGGAGAGCAAAACAGTAACAAAACTCATTTCTGGTTCTTTCACGGAATTTCCTCGCACCCTGGAAGAAATTATATCTTTTCTCTGGTCTCAATTTGCTCACCTTTCTGGCAGTAATGCTACCAACCTCCTTCAGCTTACTGTAACATGTCATTTGTAAAAGTTTGACAAGTGGGTTTGATGCTGAGTGAACAAGGCTGTTGAAGCACATAGAATAACTTACTGTGGTTCACCATGAGCGCTAGTGAAATTTTGGGGGCTTTGATTCTGTTCATTAGGCAATTACTGCTTTATAGGTGGTTCCTTCAGTCGTCCTCTCTGAGCACTTGGCTAGCGGTAGGAGGCACTAGGCTGTCCTTCCAGTTTTAGTCTAGCTTGCTTTGTTAAAAAAAATCTAAACGACCACAAATGGGATACCCCCAGAGTGTGTAAGAGTGTACCAAGGATGTGTGCCGCCCGACACGCAGCCTTGCCATGTTCTCCCATCGAGCAGGTGGCCCTGCCTCCTCCACAGCCCCAGTGGCACTGGGGTTGGCAACTCCATAAAGATCGTGAAGTAGTTCCGAGCGAGCAAGTGACGGTGTTGTGTCGCTTCTTCCCCTAGAACCAGCAGCAGCAAAAT